GGCAGAGGTGCAAGAGAGAACAAGCAGGAACATGCAAATCCTCTTAAGGCTAAACCCAAAACAGGTGTACTGTGTCATCCCCCCACCCCCCTGCATTTTATTAGCCCTCACAAATTAAGCCCAGATTCAAGGGATAGAAGTAGACTCCACCTCTTTGGGGGAGAAGGACTGCAAACTTACAGAGGACAAGGTGCAAGACCATTCATGTCATCAGTCTACCGTAGACCTGTGTGAGTCGTCTTTTATTTGTACTTAGGCTGACGTTTTGCAAATAGTGAATGCTTCATACATGTGTGTTGCATAAAAGTAAATAGAGTTACCATTTGCTAAGTTTTCTGTTCAGGATTGGATTAGCTGCATGTTCTAGACATGAGTTTCTGTCAATAAGAGTGTTAGAAGGAACGTTTATGTCATCCTAGTAGAATCTGGATTTTTCTTGCATTGGGTGCAGGATAGGTTGGCAGCCACTAAGAAGTCCCTCTTCTTTTCATCTTTTCTATCATGGGCTCTACCACCATCATTTTTAGGATTTTATAATATAAACATCTGAGAGAAGGGGAAAAAAGAGAGGGAGAACTTGCCACACCGAAGTGGATCAGTTGCTCCTGGATGAGAAATTTTGTTTCATGTATTGACCACTGAGTATATGCTAAAGAGGAAGAAGCACCCTCTGCCCAGTGGTTTTAACCTTTGCTCTTACTTCTTATCCCTTAGAGTAGCTCATGAAAACTAAGGTCTCTGGGCCAGCAGCTGCATCAGCATCACCTGGGAGCTTGTTAGAAATGCAAATACTACTGAATACTGAATCAGTCACTTTGGCTGTGGGGCCCCAAGAGATCTGTGACTTAACAGTTCCTCTGATAATGATTCTGATGTGAATGATGTTTGAGAATCTCTGCCCCAACTCCAGCAGCCATAGACACTAACAGATGAGGTCCCTTTTGTTGATTGTCGCACAATTCTGAGGATATTACAGTGTCGTCTGAACTGTACAGTAGTCAAAGGATGTTCAGTACCTTCAAATGTCAGGACAAAGACAGAGGCATCCCATTCCCTACCAGCTCACCTCAATGTTACTTTCCTTTGCCTATTTGTTTTCGAGACAGGATCTGACTCTGTAGCCCAGGCTGGAGTGCAGTGGCACAGTCCTTGGTTCATTACAGCCTCTACCTCCCAGGTGCAAGCGATGTTTCCATCTCAGTCTCTTAAAATGCTGGATTACTAGGCATGAGCCACCACATCTGGCTGATTTTGCTTTTTCATTCACAAAGATACACCACTAAAGATGTCAGGGCTGTGTCTCAGACCTGTCCCAAGTTATTACGAGGCACAGCTCAAGGCTAGAATAAGCTTCTTTTCCCAAAACAGACCAGGCGTGTGCCAGATGGGACAAATCATGCCAAGGTTCAAACACCTCCTGTCCTCCTCTCTCCATCAGGGGAGCCACTAGGCCTGCATGTGCCCATTTTGGGTACAAAGAACTCTGTAAGGTGGGTGAGCGCATTGTCAACATGAAGTGTAAGCACCGGTGGTCATCACAAGGATGAGAGTGGTGTCCCTAAAGCGGGTGTTTCATAAGGGGTTAGGAAAAGTCCTGTTCCCAGCTTTCCCTAAGCTTTTGGGTTTTCCTAGCATCTTGAATGAGGCCTGGCCTGTGGCCTGTGTGTTTGTGTTGATGAGTCTTCATAGCTCCCTGATCTACGTGCGCGCGCGCGCGCACGCGTGAGAGAGAGAGAGAGAGAGAGAGAGAGAGGGAGAGAGAGAGAGAGAAAGACAGAGACCAAGAGAGTTATCAGTGTGCTAGCTCCAGGGTTGAATGCCAGTTACCTTAACTGTGCCCCTTATTTTCCCTTGACTCACACAAGCCGCTTCTGTTTGATTCACATAGAACCGTGAGAAACAGTCTCGTATGTGAGGCTGTGTTTTTCATTCTATTCAGTCTTTGTATATTCAAATTCTTCTAGTTTCAGCTCTTGCTGTTCTGCCAGATTTCCATCGCATTGATGGCTTCTCTGAATTAATAAGTGTTTTGCAATTGCTGAAAAGTTTTCTACCCCCAAGCACTGGGACTTATCCATATTGATTTTTTTTCCTTTCTCTTTCCTCTCTAGCTCCTTCTTAGATGTTGTATTTTGTAAAGTGTTAATAGAATTTTTCTTTTGCCCTGACACTTTATCTATTCAGGAGGTCTTTGCGAGCCCCATTGTATGGCTGGACTACAGAGGAAGGAGCTCTATTCTTTATGACAATGGCTGCCCTAAAAACATATACAGATCCTCCCCCACGCTCCCCAGGGTGGAGTGAATGTGGAGAGGGCAGTATTAGAAAACGTCCAAACTTAGGAAGGAAAAGGGGAGCCAATTATGCACTGTTGAAAGGAGGTTTTGAAAATACATTAAAAAAAATCCAAAACATTTATTTCCTAAGGGAATCTGAGTCCCAGTACCAAAACATGGCCAGCACAGAAGGGCAGCAGCTTTCCTTGCTGTTAGGCGTGTTCAGTTCAAAATAAGGATTTGGCAAACATCTTAGAAAATATGGAGATGGGTGGGAAACAGATGTCACATTTACCTGCGTGATACCGGCAGGCCTCACCCGCCACCCACCTGCCCCCCAGGCATTTGAATTCCTATGGAGTCCCAGGTCTGAGTCTGAGATACCTTATGCCCGAGTGTGACTGCTCTGTGTACAGACACACCAGTTGATCTGGTGGTTTTGCGTGTGTGGTGCATGGGAGGCTGTTGTGTGTGTGGCCCCAGCAGGTATGGGGTGGGGGGCTCGTAAAGCCCACCCAAAAGGTGTTTGTCCTGCCTGGGATGGGGATGGGGACAGAGTGGGAGGGTCTGGTGAAGGAGACCCTGTTTAAGGGATCTCCAAACTAGCATTCCCCACTCCCACCACCCTGGTGCCTGGGAGAGAGAGGGCAGCTCCCTGCTGGAGGAGCCACCATGCCAGGCCATTTTCCTCCAGTAACTAACTTCAGAAATGGGGAGCAGAAGGGGAGGGCCCCAGGAGCCTGTTTGTTCAGGCCCGGTTGCTTAGCAACAAAAGGGGGCCCTGACTTGAGAAGAGATTTTTAAGCCAGGCCAGTCCCTTTGAGGTTTCTGACCGGCCTGCCTACCTCCGTCTTCCATTCTTACCTTGACTTTGCTCTTTCCCCTATTATATTTGATCGCATCTAGAAAAATACATTTGATTTGTCTGCAGGCACCATTTTAAACCTCGGTTTATTGCTTTGCTCGGTGTCTTCCCCTTCATTGGAGATTGTCGTTTGGGAGGAGTGAGGCATGAATAGCCCACGATTCCTTTTCTCAAAGGGATTAGCGCCGGCCCCCCAAGCTCGTTTGTGAGCCTTTGAGTGCACATCAACGGCGCTCCGTCCTCAGATACAGGCACACACTGAAATTTCTCCGAGGACGGGGCCCCCTGCTAACAGTTTGACCCACCCACAGCCACATGGGTTGGGTTGTATTTTTACCCCCAACCTTGAGCACAAAGTGAATGAAGAGAGTAGGCTGCACACTGGTCAGACCAGGTGCTCTACCCCTGGCGAGTCACTGAAGGCTGAGGACAAACACCTGTCCTGAAGATGTGTACTTTGTGGGATAAAGGAGTGGGTCATACATACTCATAAAAGGAGTACATTCCAGAGTGGAATCTGGTTCATTAAGTGTGAGTTCCTTGAACTCTATGTGGGAGTTAGTGTGGACCCTGAAATCTTATTGCCAGAAATATCCAGAAGGGTTGCAGGATGTGTGGGAGGGGTCCGGAAGGGATCACAAAGAGAGACAGAGGATGCCTTTGGTATTTTCTTATGTTCTCCTCTTTGATGTTTTTATAAATGTCCTAGCATCAATGCATTCGTTTGCTAGTACTGCCATAATAAAATAGCGCAGATCGGAGGGCCCAAACAACAGAAATGTATATTCTCACATTCTGGAGGCTAGAAGTTCAAGGTCAAGGTGAAGCGGGGGTTGCTTTCTCTGAGGCCTCTCTCCTGGGCTTGCAGATGTCCATCTCCTCCGGGTGTTGGCACGTGGTCTTCCCTGTTTGTGTCCCAGTCTCTTCTGATAAGGACACCAATCATATTGGATTAGGGCACACCCTAATGATTACATTGTGACTTAATTACTTCTTTGAAGACTCTCTCCAAATACAGTCACATTTTGAGGTACTGGGGGTTAGGACTTCAACCATGAATTTTGGGAGGCACAGTTGAGCACATTGAAATCAAGATGTTCAAGTTTCACAGTTTATCACTAAAAACAATTCATATCTCCATTAGACAGGCAATAATTAAGTAAGCCATGGCTTCTTACACTGGGAAATATCATGCATTGGTCAAGATAGTATACATGATGTACGAACCTGGGAATCGTTTGCCGTATTGTAATGTTACAGGTGAAAACATGGAAAAATTCCATATACGATATGATTTAAATTATATTGAAATAGGCATAGTTTTTTCTTTCTTAAAACAAAACCTCTAGGCCAGGAGCAGTGGTTCATACCTATAATCCCAGCGCTTTGGGATATGGTGGCAGGAGGATCACTTGACCCCAGGAGTTCGAGACCAGCCTGAGCAACATAGTGGGATCCTGTCTCTATGAAAAAAAGGAAAAAGAAAAAAAAATTAGCTGGGCATGGTGGTGCACACCTGTAGTCCCAGCTACTCGGGAGGTGGGAAGATTGCTTGAGCTCAGGAGATGGAGGCTACAGTGAGCTATGATGGTGCCACTGCACTCCAGCCTGGATGACGAAGTGAGATCCTGTCTCAAAAAAAATAAAAAGCAAACACTAAAGAGAACTATATAAGATGTTAACTGTAGTTGTGTAGGAAAGACCAGTGATTTTTTTTCCACTTTTTTACGTTTTCAAATATTTTTTGATAAGCAACTATTACTTCTGTAATGGAAACTTCCCCTCACCCACATATGCATATAAATGTTTTGTGTACTTTCTTAAAAGTCCTAAAGCAGCCTTTATTCTTTGTTTCGCAGGTGGAAGATGCAATGCTGATGTTTGATAAAACCACCAACAGGCACAGAGGTAAGATTATCCCAGTGTAAGAGGGTTGCCTTCACCCTCTCCTGGCGTCTCTCCCTCTGTCATCCCAGTCCCACTGACAAAAGCTACAATGATGAGTCTAGAGTCAAGCAGGTACAGGTGACCATCCATTGAAGATCTTTATTCTCGGAGGGTCCTGGTAGCTCAAAGACTTCCAGTACTGGGTAGTTGCAAACCCATTTCCTGTTGGCTTGCAAAGCAGCCACCCCTAACACATTCAAGATACACCTCTCTAATCCTGGCTTTCGTGGTCCCTTGCTCATCTCCGCAGATCGAGTGGAAATTCTTCACAGCAGTTACTCAGTTGAGTTATCAATTTGCATTGAAGGAAATTCTTTAGGAGCAGACTGTCAATCTAAAGAGCCAAAAAATGAAGCTAAAACATTGTTGTAGGTTCGTTGGGTGTGCAGTGACTACAGCCTTGGGAATGCCCTGTGGGGCCTCTGGGGTGTGTAGAGGGCAGCTGCACTTACTTGTATTTTCCCTTGTGCTGCTTCTGTTCTATTCACTTTACAAAAAAATGGGTCTTAAACTGGAGTCTAGGAACCTCTGAAATGACATGTTGCATGTTTGTAGTTTTCTTGGGTGAAGATCCCTAGCTTTGGACAAATTCTCAAAGGGGTCTCTGGTCCTGCCCTTAGCCTCTTCCTTCCCCGAAAAAAAAAAAAAAAACCACATTAAATTTATTGCTTTAAACAGAAAAATGGGAGGAATCTAGAAAAGTCCTCCCCGGAGGTAGCAGAGTCAAAGGAGGTGATGACTTAGTGTTCTGTTCTCCGGAAGCTCAGGTTTCTGGGGTTCCTATTAACAGGGTGTTAATGAGCAGAGCTTCCTAATGGGGTGGCAGGAAATAGTGTGTGCTGGTGCCCTCGAGGGAGGGAGGGAGGAAGGGAGGAAGGCAGGAAGGCAGGGAGCCTGCGAGTGCGCAGTGTTTCCTTGCCACTTGGATTGCATTTAGATGTTTCCCGTGTTGTTTACATTCCTGCTGTCACCTATGATCAGAAGCAGTTACCCAGCGCTGACTGTATGTCTTTCCTTGGAGAAGGCAGAGTGAGTGAAAGGGAAGAAGGAGTGGAGTGGGAATCGTCACTGGTGGGGCTGGGAGAAGGAGGGGGATGTCCTGAGTGCGTCTGGTAATCTGGCTTCTAATGCATCTCTCTACAGCATCCTCAGAATGGGAGAGCTGAGCACTGGGTGGACAACAGTGATGTCCATTGGTGTTTATGAGAGAAGAGATGGGCAGCCGTGGAGGGTGGGGAGCAGGGGAGAAGTAGGGAGAGAAAGGAGGAGCATGAAGGTGTGGAACGATCGATCGGCTTTGTCCACTGCATTGCTGGGGAGTCAGAGCCTAGGGAGTGAGAGGAAGGTGGTGCTAAGGGTAGGCAATTCAGGATTGTCCTCCATCATCGTCCACATTGCATCGATCTAGCTTTATGGTTTCCAAGCCCGATTTTCACATGCATCTTCCATGTCATCGCTGCTACCCCTGTACCAACCATCACTGCAAACATCATGTTGGTCCCAGTAACCCAGCTGCCACCCCACCTCCTCCCGCCACACCCATCGTCCCTCTGGTCCTAATTTGACCTTTGAAGCAGCCCCTGGAGGGTTGTTGTGACGTTGGGAAAATCACTTAACTTCCTTAAGCCTCAGTTTATTCATCTGTAAGATGGGGGTAATCATAGAACCTCCCCACAGGATTGCCTGGAGAGTGTAATACCAAGCATCTAGTCAATTGTGCTAAATGTTAACTCTTATTATTAGCGTTTTCATCATCTCCATCTGGTTGACAAAATAACCAAGGCTCAGAGGAGCTAACTGAGAGACCCACAGCTGAACAGGGTCTCAGGACTATAGGTTTCAAGTTCTGTTCTTTCTCTGCTGTGTCCAGATGGGAATGTGATTGTTCAGAAGAGCCCTGTCATCTATTTATTTTCAGGGTGGGTGATGCCCATTTGAATTTGCCAGCTGGTGTTCAGTGTTAGAATTCGTAATCCAGGGAGATTCCAGAGTTGCCCCCAGGTGATACTGTTGCCCTTTTATTTTGAAAATTAACGAATGAGAGTATTTTTTGATCTGCTGTGTGTCGAGCCCTGTGCTGGGGGCTTGCACTGGTATCATCTCATTAACTCTCAGAGCCGGGCAGGGAGAGGGCTGGTAATGGCAGAGGGATTGAAACGCAGGACTTTGGCCTTCTAGGTGAAGCCCCAGAGGACATGCCTGGAAAAGTTCTCTCATTTCTAACCAGATCCCTGTTGCTGTGGGTGAAGCCCCTTCCCTTTTTCCAAAAGGGAGAAAGGAAGGTGCAGGGCTGCAGAGATGGGGTGGCGGTTCATCTGTGACGGGCATGGGAAGAGTTTCTTGCCTGTTGTGAGGTGAGGACGGTCTGTTGGAGGGCCTGCTGCTCAGAATGGCTTCAGGACATCATTTCGTCATTGCTGGCTCTCCAGGAGTCCCGGTGGGCACTGGCAGGAAGGAGCGTGGGCAGGGCCTCTGGCACCTGCCAGAGCTGAAGATGCCTGCAGCGGGTGCAGACCGACTCTAAAATGTGTGGAGCCCAAAACTTAAGGAAACTCACCTGCTATTCAAAGATGATTGAGAAGCTGGCCGGAGGGGCAGCCTGTGGAGGGGGGAGATTTGCCAGAAGCCTCAGCAGGAAAGACCCCCCCCATTCCACTGCCCTCCCTCTCATCCAGGGCCTCCCCGCCCCCCCCGCTCCCCAGTGTTATTTCTGTGTGGGTGGGAACACCAGCCCATACACATGTTCCAACCCCTCAAGATGCCGAGGGAGTGAAAAAAAAAAATTTTTTTTTTTTTTTTCAAAGAAGAGCATATCACAACAGAGGCACAGCTCGTATATATGCAGCGAGCCAGCCCTACATCTGTGGCCTGATGGAGTGTGCGTTTGGAATCAGGTAATAAGTTCAAGGAAATAAAATCCTTGGGCAGCCACCTTGCTCCCACCTTACCTTCACCTCCTTGGTTCCTGCTGTCCATGACCTTATCAGGAGGAAAGTGCTGCAGTGGCAGAAGTTGAGGACATCTTCCTGGCTGGCGCTGCCTCCAGCTCCCTTCTTAAAGAGCCCCAGAGCATGGATTCAGCGGTGTTGTCCCAGCACACGCTCAGCCCTTGTCTTCAGACTCCTAACCCAGCCCTGTGGATGGCCTGGGGCCTCAACTCATTCTCACCCCAGGAGTCTCAACAGTTACCTGCGTGTCCTTGAAGCCATGCGTATGAGAGCCGCTGCTCAGGGATAACCACAGGGAGCTGGCCGGCTTCCAGGGCCCGTTCAGGCTCCACTTGCCGTTGGGAGCCAGAGGTCAGGGCAGAATTTCCACTCCTTGCCTCCAGTGGTCACCTCCTGTTCCTGCTCATCCCCATTGGGTCAGGGATGCCCTCAGTTCCATCGGCATGGTGGCAGCTTGCATCTCCTGTCCACAGAAGTATTAGCCGGGTCCTCACTCGCACCACAGAGAGAACCCAGGGCATAGGAAAGGACGAGCCTCTGGCAATATACATCTTCACCCTTTCAAGCAGGAAAAGGGTCCCACGTTCAGTCTGTGACTTACAGTGAGTGGAGCCCTGGAGATTTAGGGGCTCTAACCTTTCTCCTCACAGGCGGGCCTTCCTCCAGCTTCTGCTGCTCCCTTGATGTTTTTCCTGGGGCACGTTCCCTAACCTCTGAGCATCTCAGCTTCTTCCTCTGAAAAAATAAGAGACCTGGGATTGATAATGAGCCCCAGGACTCGAAGTATGTTTCTGGCTTTTCGCTTTTTAACTGTGAGAATGTTCAAGATGAATTCCTTTGCGATCTTTGTGACTAGGGGAGGGAGCAGGCAGTTTTTGCAGGTTGGTTCTCCAGGATGGGATGAGTAACTGGAAGGTTTATCCAGAAGTGCTCTTGATCAGGAGAGGGCAGAGGAGAAGCCAACTTGTGATGTCCTTCTGCAATGAGGTGGTCCTTCAGGGGTCCCCAGCTGGGGTAGGAGTGCCATCCTTGATGCCTGCATGCTTGCCTGTCATTGGATGCAGCCTACCCCGTGAGGCTGATATGACCTGGGCTTTCCCGGGGTAAATCCTGAAGGGGACCTCAAGCTGGAGAGTATCTTCCAGCAGCACTCCTAGCAGCTGGGAAAGACGTCCTTTATCCAGAAGGGGATCTGAGTATCCTGATACAGCACCCACAGTGATGGTATGGGGAGTTCTGTTGCTATCTCAGCGGGCCATGTTAGCAATCTTGATAGAAACAGCCAACACTTTCTGAGCACTTACACACCAAGTGCTTAGCACAGTGCCAGCACCTACCATTGAATCTTGATGACAAACAGCCATAGGTGAATCGAACTGCCCAGAGTCACACGCTGGTCAAAGCAGAGCTTGGATATAAACCCAGCCTGTCTGACCTGGAGTTCAGGCTCTTATACTCTGCAAAGCAACTGTTTAAAACAGTGCAGTTGGTCATTTTAAGGGTTTAGCACTTCTCACTTTCTGTCCTCTACACCAGCCTTCTTGCTGATGACCATGCTCCTCCATTTCCACTTGGAGAAACTAAGGCACATAAGTTTGAAATGTTGCATAGAAGATTCCTGCAGCCAGACAACAGCAGAGCTACTGTTAAAACCTGGATGCTGGCCCAGCATGGTGGCTCATGCCTGTAATCCCAGCACTTTGGGAGGCCGAGGCGGGTAGATCACCTGAGGTCAGGAGTTCGAGATCAGCTTGGCCAACATGGTGAAACCCCATCTCTACCAAAAATACAAAAATTAGCTAGGTGTGGTGGCAAGTGCCTGTAATTCCAGCTACTCAGGAAGCTGAGGCAGGAGAATTGCTTGAACCTGGAAGGCGGAGGTTGCGGTGAGTCGAGATTGTGCCATTGCACTCCAGCCTGGGCAACAAGAGCCATTTCAAAAAAAAAAAACCTGGATACCGTCCTTGGCCCTGCCTCTCATTTCCTTTCCTGGCCTTCCATACAATGATTTGT